TTTTTTTTTTGGGCCCATGCTAATCTTGTCTGTATCGTTCGTTCCAATTTTGACGGATGTCCGGAAGGACAGGGGCGGTATTTTCGCTCCAATACACTCGAGATGAACAGAACGAGAGCGAATCTTCCGCTAGAACATGGAAAGATATACCGCAAGGATTTTTGCCTTTTGTGCATGTCGTCGATGTCGAGAGCAGTGGAGCGAGGCCGATAGAAGCCCCAGTGGTTTCACAGCAAAAACTATTTGCAGGCCCCCGGGAATGAATTGTTTCTGCCCACCTTGCGCAGAGGCGGCGAATTAATTGTAATTAATTGTTTCAACTACCGTAGCCTTCCGTCCGATCCTAATGAGGTAGGTCCTCGTAAGCACCCCCGTTTAGACATCTGGCGAGGTTCAAGCTTGGATTGGATGTTTGAACACCTTGTTTAGACACCTTCGCTTACGGCCGCCCCCACAAAACTTGGGCCTCGCCCGGCACCCGCCACACCTCTGCTCAGAGTGCACGGCGTGCCACATCCTTTGCCAAGCTTGGTTGTCGTACACACCTCTGTTTGCAAGAGCTAAAGAGGGTCAGCAACCAGTTCAGGCTGATGTCCGAGGGTGTCGGGGGTCTGCCGTCGTCCCCCGAACACAACGCGACCCTAATTTCGGCTGCAGAGCACCGGAAAGATAGCTTGTACTAGCCTTGTAGTGTATGCATCCATTATCAGGGTGCCTTCTGTTGGAGGAAGACGGAGGAGTCCAGTCGAAACGAAATAGCGAGCAAGTTTACAGTAACTACCTATAAATACATCCGAGTACCTCAATACTTCAACTGGAAGGGGACCCAATACTCGTTCCAGAAGGCTGGCATCTGTTGCTAGACTGATGATCGACGAGACTGATTGATTGATCGATTGCACCTGAGATCTCCGTCCATTTAGTCCGGAAGACGCGAGGACCCTCCGCTGTCAAAGGCAACTCGGAAGACTGCGAAGACGAGGGAGCTCTGAAGGTGGTCGTGACGTCGGTGCGGAGAGCACCACTACAGCAATCCGCCTGTCCGACGGCGGCAATGGCGATGCTGCTGCTGCTACTGCCGCTGCTGCTCCAGCTGGCCGCCCGAGGAGCCGCTAGCACTTGTCCGCCGCCCGGATCGGTGAAGATTCAATCGTTCAGCTACGCAGGAAGCGGCTGTCCTCCCGGGACTGCTGTCGGCGACATCTCCAAGGACGGGAAGGCGCTGACGGTCATATTCAGCAAGTACTACGCTACCACGGACAAATTGCTGGCGGATCGCAAACGGAGCTGCGTGGTAACGGTCAAGCTGAGCTATCCCAGAGGATTTATCGTGTCGGTGGGGACGGTCACAACGCGCGGGTACGTGAAGCTCGATGCGGGCGCCGTGGCGACCATTCAGACGTGGTACTACTTCTCCGGGCTGCCAGGGACGGCTCGACTCGTGCGCAAGTTCACAGGAGTGGTCGAGAAGAACTTCGAAGTCACGGACAAGTTCCTCACCCTGGTTTACAGCAGGTGCGGCGTGTCCAGGGACCTCAATCTCGTCTCGGAAGCCCGGGTGGCCCCTGGCCCCGGGTATCCATCCAAGGGTAACGGACTCGTCGTAGTTGACTCTAAGGATTTGTCCATCGGCCAAATCTGGCAGCTCGTCTGGGAGAAATGCTAAGCCATCGCGGACATGAGCTACTAGTCTGGGAGGGGAGAGAAGCGGAGGGAAGGGGCGGTTGGGGGAAAGGTGAGTCTAGGGTCCGAGAGACTGGTCGGAGGCAGTTCGAGACGCCGTCCGATTAGGAGTGAGTGGGGACGCGTCGCGAGTCTGCCGAGTGTCGCCAAGGAGTCCACTGGCGGAACCCTCCAAGTGTCGCCAAGGAGTCCACTGGCGGAACCCTCCAATGATGCCCGCACGGGATAAATGGTAGAAGGCGCCCACGCCAAAACCTTTTCGGTTTTGGCCGCCCAAAGTTTAGCCGTTTGGTACTACCGGCCTAATGACTTGCATGTGGGGTACTACAGGCCCACACGCCCCTCCAAGGGCCCTACCGGATCATGAATCTGGCTCATAAACAGCGCCAGATTCATTTTCATTTAAAAGAGGCCGGGCGTGGTAACCCTGAAGTATCGAATGAGGCCCACGTACGCGATTTTGAAAAAGGAGGGACCTACCGGTTCATGAATCTGGCACAGAAACAGCGCCAAATTCTTGAACAGGTGAAAACAGGCCCAAGGAGATGTGGCCACGGCGCGAAGGCGCCTTTCACCAAGGGGAACATTGTTTGGGCCGGTACTACCAAACGGCCAAACTTTGGGCGGCCAAAACCGAGAAGGTTTTGGCATGGGCTCTTTCTACCAATTATCCCCGCAATGTTGCCCGCAAAATGGGACTCGTAGTTCTGTACGAGGCGTACGGTCATACACGTCATTCTGTTTTGATTCTGTTCAGGACTTGAAGTAGTGAGGGTCTTCTGCGCAGAAGGTGCATCACACAGAAATTCTGATACACGCAATTTGGGGTTCAGGTTAACCGGTTATATTAAAGTCAGTCTATCTGTAGAAGGTTAACGATGATCGTGCCCAATGAAAGTTCGAACAAGTGGCACC